TGTGAGGAAGGATATTGTATAGAACGATACAAAGTCTGCAATGGGATAAGAGATTGTGTCGATACTGGGAGCGATGAAGTTCATTGTGGTGAGGAATGGAAAATTTAGGATAAAATTTAGATATAAGACCACATGTGTGTGTGTGATGACTAGAAATAAGACTTAGCAATAAGACATTTATACATATGGTATATTTTTTTCAGGAACTTTAACTTCATCTTCAATTGCATGCTCAAAATTTCTTTTATTGCCGAAGCTTTACGTTCATCATTTGGTTCTATTTAGGCTTTTTTTTCAAGTTTTTGGGCTTTACTCGTTAGATGTTAGATGTGCTTTTCATCATCATCAATGTTGTTTTTTTCAAAATTTAATCAATGTATCGAATCGATGTTTTAGTGTTGTCTGAATGTTTAGTACAAGTTTTGGTAAATATTTGACTTGGGTGATCTAATTTGATGAATAAGTCAAATGTTTACAAAATTTATGTGTATACAAGGTGTCCCAGAACTCAACGTCAAAGGGGATGATAGCATTGTATGAACTATAATGATACAAAATAGAAAAAAAAATACACTTACTTTGGAAGTTAGAACCAATAAATGATCACAAAGTTCTTGGTTGTACTCAAAAGCTCATAGTTTTCTAACTGCGTTAATTTTTTAAAATTTTATCATGATAGGTACAATCAACACTAAATCCTATCCATTTTGAGTTGACGTTGAGTTCTGGGATATCCTGTATATGTATTTGTGGGTAGATTTTAGTTTTAGACATTGTCCTTTATATCCAAACCTGTCTCTTAAATTTGATCTTAAATTGATGTGTGTAGTGACTTTTTTATCAAAATACTCAATTTTTTCAACTTTCTAATTTTTTATTTAAAATTTTTGGTACAACTGTTTATATATAAAAATAAGTTTCTGGACTTAAAAAATTCTAGTCTGGATCATATACCATCTCTGGCCAAACGCTAACATTGATATTATTATTATTATTATTATTATTATTATTATTATCTTACTATTTCTATTACTGTTATTTTGTTATATTTTATTATTTTTCTAATATTATTTTATTATTCAGAAATTTTATTTATATTATTTATTAATTTTATTTTTATTATTATGTGCTTCTATTTTATATTACATCATCATATTACGGATATTATTTTTATGTAAATTCTATCCTTTGCACTCTTATTTATTTAAATTTGTTATTATTTATCAATATAACTAGATGTTAATTATTTAACAGTTGTAATAAATATTGAAATTAAAAAAAAAACTCTGGCCAAATTTTGGATTCAACAATAAGTGACCTAGATTTTTGGTGTGGTCATTATATAATTCTTATAAGAAACTTCGACATTTTTTTACCAAAAACGATCAGTTTATTTTTATTTTTTTCCCAAAAATCATATGAACATTTTTCCACAAAGTCACTACACGTCTGGGTATTAAAAATATATATTTTCATCTACCAGGTAAGATATTATCCAGGACCAGGACAGTCCAACTTATTTTCTCGCTAAATTACATATTCTACAAAATCTTACCAAACAAATGTGAAACTTGATTAAAATTATAGCTTTAGTTACATTCAAGTGATCATTTATATTTATTTTACTAATCTATTTTTTTCTATCCCCTTCCTCCAAAAAATCCGCAAATCCTTAGACAACAAGTGTGCAGCCAACGAATTCAGGTGCAAATCTGGTGACTGCATTCCCGTAGAATACCTTTGTGACCAAACCAGGGATTGTGCAGACAATTCTGATGAAAGTCCTGAGCAATGTGCAAAAACTGATCATACCACTCCTGGACCACATGCTGGATGTGATGGTAACGAATTCAGGTGGGGTAAAAGACTTATATTACATTAATTAGTCACTAGATATGTTAGTCTGGATTAAAATTGGAGATGGCTTTTATACATTTTGGTATAAAACTGTTAGTTATAAGGTTCTTACATAAATTTTGAGGCACTCAATTTGAAGCTTAGGATACTCCTCCTCAATTTACAAATAAATATTTTTATATTTTTTTATTTTTTTATCAGATGTCGTGATGGAAGTTGCATCCCTGACTACCAGCGTTGCGATAGGAGACGCGATTGTGCTGATGGAAGCGATGAAGACGATTGCGGTAAGTCCATAAACTATTCCAATATTTTTTTTAGAATTGAAATTTAGTGCATTTTTTTAATTACACAAGTTTTAAATTTTTGGTAGTTTTCATTCTGGTTGAAGTGTTTATTAGATTTGAAGTATATACATATTAAAATTTTTATTGGTGTGTTTATTAATCCAATTGTTTTTTTTCTTTTTTTTCGTCTACGGTTCTTGTTTCCTACTTTTTCTTTTTTCTGGTACTTTGGTTTTACTAAATTTTATTTATGGTACTTTTGGGGTTTCTTGGAACAATATATGTACATTGTGTTTATGCTTATATTTTATACATCTTTATGCTTTAAATTTATATTATACCATCATGCTTCTAATATTCCTTGCATCATCTGAATGAAAAACAACTTTTCCATAAAATCCTATTTTGCTAAAAATCATTATTGTGATAACAATCTTTGTTGATTCCATATGAAATTCCTGTTTTTAACTGTCCTGTGGCCAAATTTTGCTAATAACTTCAAAAATCAACCTTGAACTTTTTCTTGGACCATTTTTAAATACTTTTGGGATCATAATCCAACCTCGATCCTTTTTTTTATTTATTTCAACCACCTTAATTCCCAAAACTAACCAATATTGTTTCTTCTCTAATCTTATCTGTCTATCATCAACGATGTCAATAATCTGTTTACCTAATGTTTTTGAAACTGGTTAAAAAATAATATTACATCTTGGTTAAAATTTCTACTACATTTTCCTCTTCATCAATTGAAAAATACTCATTTCTTCTACTCATCATCAACAATGTCATTTTCTATTCACCTAATGTTATACAACATACATCATCCTGGTCAAAAAATATCATGGAAAAATGATGTATTTTCATGACAACGTCCAAACCTACGCCCAAATACTCATTTTATCTACTTTGTCAATTTTCTGTCCACATGTTGCATCTTGGTTAAATAATTTTCCACTTCACTTTCTACCACTTTGTCACCAACTTTAATTTATGTTCAACCTTCTCCTTGTGATGATTATTTTTTATCATACTTGTCCACCTTGATATTATATTCCTGGCTTCTACTTACTGCACTCTCACTTCTACACTTAACCTTGCTCATCCCACTTCTACTCATCACTTTATCTGATACTTATCCGTTTTTGGGACATCATTTGGCCCTTTTACTTACCATCATTGATCACTTCTACTTACCCTCAACATTGTCAATTGTCTATGCATCTATCCTTGCTCTCATTATTTCAACCTACGACTTCATTTGAAACTTATCTGCCTTGGGGCATTATTCTTAATTCTAATTCTTGCACTCTTATTTACCATCAACACTGCCAATTTCTTAACCATCTTACCTTGTCCATACTACTTCCTATCATCTCATTTAATATTTATCTGCCTTGGGGCATCATCCTTACTTCCAATTTTTGCATTTTCATTTACCATCAACACTGCCAATTCTTTAACCATCTCACCTTGTTCATCCCCCTTCAACTCACATTCTCTATCCATCTCATATATACCTCTTGAACAATTTTACCTAATTTTATTTCTCCTTGCTATGATATTTTCCTGCATCAATATATATATATACTGTTCTCATGACAATGTATACCAAAATTCTCAAATACTTATTTTATCAACTTTGTTATTTATCTGTTCACCTGGTCAAATAATTTGTGACTTCATTTTGCACCACCTTGTCATAACTTTATTTGATTGGATGTCACAACTTTCTCCATGTGATGATCCTTGTTTTATCATAATCATCCACATTGGCATAATTTTTTACTTATACTTACTGAACTCTTACTTTTCATCAATGATCAATCTTACTTAACACCAACACTGTCAATTATTTATCCACCTAATCTTGCTCTTTCCACTTTCACTTATCACTTTATCTGATATTTATCTACTTGGGGACATCATTTTCGTTCTTAATTTTTGCACTTCTATTTATCATCACTGATCATTTCTACTCGTTATCATCACTGTCAATTCCTAATCCATATTACCTTGTTCATCTGACTTCCACTTATCACTTTAATTGATACTTAATCTACCTCGATGCATTATTCTTAATTCTACTCCTTGCACTACTCTTACTTACCATCAACATTGTCAATTCCTCATCCACCTAAACTTGCTCATCCCACTTCTGCTCATCACTTTATCTGATACTTTTCCACTTTGGGATATCACTTTTGTTCTTAATTCTTGCACTTCTATTTGCCATCACCGATCATTTCTACTTGTTATCACCACTGTCAATTCTTAATCCATCTTACCTTGTTTATCCCATTTCTACTTGTCACCTTGTTCGATATTTATCAAATTTGGGGCATCATCCTTACTTCCAATTTTTGCACTCTTACTTACTATCAACACTGCCAATTTTTCATCCATCTTACCTTGTTTGTCTCACTCCCATTTACCACTTTATTTGATACTCTTCTGCCTTGGGGCATCATCCTTACTTCCAATTTTTGCATTTTCATTTACAATCAACACTGTCAACTCTCCATTCACCTCACCTTGTTCATCCCCCTTCAACTCACATTCTCTATCCATCTCATATATACCTCTTGAACTATTTTACTTATTTTTATTTCTCCTTGTTATGATATTTTCCTGCTGCTTTGCACCTTCACACAACTCTTGCTTATCGCAAACACTGCCACTATTCTTGGTCTTGGCCTGGATCGATTTACTATTTGCCTCTTGATCTTGGCCTGGATCGATCTACTATTTGCTTCTTGATCTTGGCCTGGATCAATCTACTATTTGCCTCTTGATCTTGGCCTGGATCGATCTACTATTTGCCTCTTGATCTGGATCAATCTATCAACTATCCAGGAAGTTGCTCTGCCGACGAGTTCCGTTGCGCAAATGGCGTCTGCATTTCCGGTGAGGAAGTTTGCGACGGAACCCAAGATTGCTTTGACGGAGACGACGAACAGGATTGTCGTACGTAACATTTTCAACACGCTTAGAAGCTTTTGAAACAAATTGTATATAGTAAAAACTTACTTAGTAGAAGGAAGTGGGATAGAATAATTTGGACAGAGATCCTAAAATTTTAGTAGTGGATAAACTTCAGAATCAGAACTTTTTTTGTTGCGACAAGTTTTTTTAGTTTTAGTGAATATAAGTTGTTTATTTATTAATTTTTATCCAGCTGTTCGTTGTGAGCCCTACGAGTTCGAGTGTGACAACAAATGTTTACCTGATGATGTCAAGTGTGATGGATACTCCGATTGTGCTGATGGAAAGGATGAATTGTACTGCTCTCATACAACTACACAAAAACCGGTAAATATCAGCATTTTTATTATTAAGTTGCAAAAAATCCAAATGGTCACCGTTAATTGATACTTTACCCAGAAGTTTTGGTAAATCACCTGGTAGATGCCTGAATAAGGGATGAAATCCGATTTGAATGATCTAAAAAACTTTCTGCTTGTATTGACAAAACAATTGCCTTTGAGGATAAAAAATTATTAAATATTTTTTTATTTTCCATAAAATATTTTTGTAATTTTTTGGATTAAAAATTCAAAAAATTACCCAGGCTAAGCACATTCTAAGCGCCACTCTGGTACAAATGCTTACCCAAGTGCGTTTAGACTGTTTATGTACTGGGGCACTTTTCCAATTTTGTGAGAAAACTATTGAAAAATGTGAAAATGCCGCCACGCCAAGCACAGTATAAGTGAAAATGTTGCACAGAATTATTTGTAAATGCGCTTAGACTGTAACTGTACGGGAGCACTTTTTCAATTTCGTGTAAATTAGACAACTATTTTTTTGTTTGAAATTGAATTCGAAATGAAATGACAATTGTAAATGTTCTGGAGATAAATTGATTTATGATTTACATTTGATGTGCTCAAATAATGAAAGTTACATTATTTGTAATAATAAATTTGAAAACTTTTAAAATTTCACGCATATTTCATTACAGTACGGGATGTTCCAGCAATTTGACTCGCCCTTTTTTATATTATTCAGGTTTGACACGCATATAAATATGCGACACTTTCATACATTTTTTTAAATATCTCGAAAATTTAGTTGCAAACACTCTTTTTAGTTAGCTTACCAGAAACTAGATAAAATTTACTACATGTTCTTATAAACTATCTTATATACTTTTATACATATTTGAATAAAATGGGTTTAACTAACTCATATTGAATATTTACACTAAAAATATGTGGATTTGGGACACTTTTTTACATTCCTTCAAATAACCTAAAATTTTTGTTGTGGGCACTTTTTTTCTTTAGTTTACCAGAAACTAGATAAAATTTACTCAAATTGTATATAAATAGTTTAATATGCTCCGGTACAAAAATTTTGAATATAAAATTGTTGAATTCGCTAATGTGTCATGTACAAATTTGCTGTTTAATATCAGGGACATTTTTTGATATTTCTTTAAATAACTTAAAAATTTCATTTCGGACACTCTATTTTAATTAATTTATAAGAATCTAGATAAAATTTACTAAAATTCTATGTAAACTGTCTTATAAAGTTCAATACAAACATTTGGAATAAAACTAGTTTGCTTTGGCTTCTTATATTATACAAATTTTCTACAAATGAACTTGGGACATTTTTCTACTTTTGTTAAAAAAAAATTGAAAACTTCCTTCGGAACATTTTTTTTTCTTTAGCTTAACAGAAACTAGATAAAATTTACTAAGATTGTCCATAAACTGTTTTACATACTCCGATACAATTTTTTTTAACAATTTCAATTACTACATTTCCAAACACGTCATTAATATATTGAAAAAAAAAGGTTCTTAAGATCTCAATTTGCCTTAAGGCACGATGCCATACACCACTAGTTAACTTTCCGTAGGGTAAGTTCTAGTAATCGCAAAAAAATCGAAAATGAAAATTTTTATATATCTTTACGTTTCAGAGGTTTCTGAACATTTTGGCATACCTTAGAAAAAATGGATGTATGTGTGTGTGTGTGTGTGTGTGTGTGTAGTATGTATGTGTGTGCGGATACAAATTTTCGTCGACGATTTCGGGAATACGGATCAACCGATTTGAATAATTCATAAAACATTCGATTCGTATTGATAAGGAGACGTGCTGATTAGTTTTTGGCGAAGGCAGGTCCAGCCGTTCCGAAGATACGGGGCAAAAAGTGCCGAAAACGGTAACTCAGTTTTTAAGAGAACGGAGCGTCCGATTTTAATAATTCAAAAAACATTTTACTTATATTGACAAGGTGAAGAACAGATCAAATTTTCATAAAGGCAGGTTTAACGGTTTTGGAGATCTAATGCAAAAAGTAAAAAAAAATGCCATTTGGCGGTCAAAAATGATCATTAGACATATGCACATCAAATTATCAGATATTTTATAGAGATTTTAACAATAAGTATAAATTTTGTTTACATTCCTATGGGTTCCGTACCAATGTTTACGCGTTAGACGGCGACGCGGCGTTTACGCGCTTTTATATTTCGTCTTTATGCAGTTAAAGCAGTACGATTGCTTTGAAAAAAAGTTTAGATCTTCCAAAATATGTCAAAATAAAGAAAACATTTTTTTTTTCAAAAAAAGAAAAAATTTTTTTTTTTTTTTTTTTAATTTTTTTTTAAAAAAAAAAGTAATTTTTTGTCCAACTTATAGTTTCTCAAAAATCTTATTTTTTCGAAGTAAAATTTTTTCAAAAATATTAATTGTTTTTTAAAAAAATAATAATTTTTGGTACGGGAAGTTCCAGCAATTTGCCTTAAGGCACGATGCCTTAATTGCCTTAAGACAGAATTCCACTTACAGCTAGTTATTTTTTATTTTTGCAGACTTGCTCACCATACGAGTTCACTTGTGGAACTGGCGAGTGCATTCCTTCCTATTCCAAATGTGATGGACGTACTGATTGCAGAGACCAGAGCGATGAAAGAGATTGCGGTAAATATATATATATATATATATATATATATAAAAATATATAGATATATAGATATATAGATATATAAATATTTCCAGTTCTATTTTCAAATTTCTACTATCTTTTCTCCAGATTGCAGATATGGTGAATTCCGTTGCGCAAGTGGAGAATGCATCTCCGGCAGACAGAGATGTGACAGAGTCCACGATTGCAGAGATGGAAGCGATGAAAGAGATTGTCCACAACCTGATGACCAAACCACGAACAGACCTTATCCACCACAACCAACCGAAGGTAAGATAGTAATTGATAATCGATTAATTTGGTAAAAATCCAGGCCACGATACTGAAGATTTGATAGGAATACGTGATAGATGTTTTTTTTTTAATTATTTATTGGCCTCGCTTACTCGAGCATTTAGCCACCTACAATATGTTTCAATTTCAATACAATATTTCAATTTCATACTATTTTCCTTATATAAATCCCATTCTTCTTGCTATTTTATATTCTATGTATTCTTCAACGTAACTTCATTCTTCTTTTTAGTATCTACCATTGTATCTTCTATCTTCTTACGTCTTCATTACTTTTATTCTTACTTCCATTACTTCTATTCAATTTAATTTTTATTCTCAAATCTTTTATACACGATTGAACTATTTTTAAAACTATTTCAAACTATTTTTAACATTATTTCAAACTATTTTTTTATATTATTTCAAACTATTTTTGTGTGTGTGTTTGTATGTGTTTGTTGTGTTTGTATGTGTGTGTATAGGAAATTGTTTGCTCCCAGGGTCTTAAATGCTTCCGAATGAATAAAACAAAATGCTATGAAAGTTTTAGCTCTTAATATTAACTTTAAGATAGTCCGCAGTTCAACTGAAGTTTCTTGGTTTTCCTAAGTAATTACTTATTGTATACAAAATATGAAATTTTTGTTTTAATTTTTTTATTTATGCACAAAATAAGCAAATACAATGTAATTCTCAAAATTTTGATTTTATTTTGAATTTATTTTTATTATTTGAGCCCTTGGGAGCAAAGAAATTCTAAAAAATCCATATTAAAGACCACCCTAGTATATACTTATTTATCTGTGTGCGGATACAATATTTTATCCACGTTTTCTCGAGCACGGTTCAACCGATTTGAATGATACGAATAGCAATCGATTCCTATCGTGGACGAGATCTGTTGAGTAGTTTTTTGGAAAGGCAGTTCTAGCCGTTTTGGAGATACAAAGCAAAATGTGTAAAAAATTGTAATTAACTGTATATGTATGTATGTGCCGATACAATGTTTCATCGAGCGCGGATCAACCGATTTTAATGATTCAAAAAGCATTCGATTTCTAGCCGTTTTGGAGATATGAAGCAAAATGTGCAAAAAATTGTAATTAACTGTACATGTATGTATGTGCTGATACAATGTTTTATCCACGTTTTCTCGAGCACGGTTCAACCGATTTGAATGATTCAAAAAATATTCGATTGGTATTGAGGAGACGTGTTGACTAGTTTTTAGGAAAGGCAGGTTTAGCCGTTTTGGAGATATGAAGCAAAATGTGCAAAAAATTGTAATTTACTGCATATGCATGTATGTGCGGATACAATGTTCCATCAACGTTTTCTTGAGCACGGTTAATCGATTTAAATAATTCAAAAAGCATTCGATTAGTATTGATGAGGAGACGTGTTGACTAGTTTTTGGCAAAGGCAGGTCTAGCCATTTTGGAGATATGAAGCAGAATGTGCAAAAAATTGTAATTAGTGTGTATGTATGTATGTGCGGATACAATGTTTCATCGACGTTTTCTGGAGAACCGTTTAACCGATTTGAATGATTCAAAAACCAATCGATTTCTATCGTCGGCGAGATTTGTTGAGTAGTTTTTCGCAAACGCAGGTCTAACCGTTTTGGAAGTACGTAGCAAAATGTACAAAAAATTGTAATGCAATTTGTGAGAGAACGGAACGTCCGATTTGAATGATTCAAAAAACATTTTACTTATATTGACCGAATAAAGACATTTTTAGGGATGCACTTTTAGCACTTTAAGAGGTGCAGGAAAAAAAATAGACAAATTGACTGATGCCTAACTTTATTTTACAGCTCCTCACCATAGATGTCCATATGGAACCCAATCCTGCGCCGTTTCGAACCAATGCGTGCCATCAAACCAATGGTGTGATGGAAGATCAGATTGTGCTGATGGATCTGATGAAAGGAATTGTGGTAAGTAGTATAAAAAAAATTTATACCAATACTATAAATTATTGTTCTTTAGATGTTGTCCAGTAAAATTGTTGTGGTAACAATTACATGTTTCTAAAGTAAAGTTGTTATTTATATTTTTACAATTTTATTATTATTAATATTTATTATCATTGATAATTTAAAAAGCTCGAGCATGTGTACGTGGAGAATTTCGTTGTGAAAATGGCCCTTGCATTCATGGGGCCCTTAGGTGTAATGGGATCACCGACTGCCCTTTTGATGATAGTGATGAACTCGATTGCCCTTACTCGAACGAAAGTAAAAATTGTGGAACAAAATTAACGAGATTTTTTTTAAATTTGAAAACCTATTAACAAGGGATTTTTTTCTATTTTTAAAAGCCAAAATTTTATTAACAAAGAGATTTTTTTGTTAAAATTTTATTAACAAAAGTTTTTTTTTACCTTGTCGTGTGCTTCTACTAATTTACATTTTAGAACGTTCCCTGTTTAAAAAAAAGCGAGCTTGATATTTTGTTTGTTTGGGTATATATGCTCAATATGTTTGCGTTAATTTATTAACTATTTTTAACGCATTTGCTTGTACGCACGCATATGCTGCGTGAGACCTTTGTCACTAGCCAAGCATTATCTCAACAATACTTGTAGTTGAATTTAACATCGATGTACAATCATAAAAAGCATATAATTAGGCTTAATATGTTTTACTAAAGCTTTTTTGTTAAAAGATTATTTTTGAAAAAATTTTTAGGTACAATTTTTTGCAAATTCACATACATAAATTTAAATTAACCAAAATTATTGACTTTTGCTTGTGACTAACTAATTTTTATTACCTTTAGTTCAAAATTTGTTTTTTTTTATTAAAGAGTGCTTCTTGAACATTTAACAGAATTTGTTATTTTTCTCATACATTTTTTTAATAACTTTTTCCTAATCCACTAACATTTGATTTCAATAAATTCGAATTTCGATTTTAATAAATTCGAAAAATAAATTACGAATTTTATTAGTTACAACTTTGCTTCCGCCGAAATTCTATGAATTTTTGTAGGAAACTCATATAGTACTAATGGCGGACACAAAGTTGTACACAATTTTTGTAATAAATTTAATAATTATTATTAAATTTTATCAGTTGAAAAATACTTATGCAACTTTATATTAAAATTTGTTATTTTTATCATACATTTTTCAAATAACTTTTTCCTTCGACTAACATTTAATTTTACTAAATTTGGTAAAATATAATTGGTGCTTTTTGTGTTTAATTTTATTAACGAATGTATTTTTGTATATTATTAATATTAATATTTTTGTGTTTTTTTTCTCATTTTAGTTGGACACGAGCCTTTGAACCTAAAAACATACCCAAGTGAACAAGTCATCAAAGAAAGTAAGTGTTTATATTTATTTATTAAAATTAAAAGTATTTATTTAAACTCTTTCGTATTGCATCTTATACATCTGGTTGTTCAAAAGATTATAATTGCTTCTTAACGGTTAATCTAATTTCGATAAAACCTTTTGGATCTATTCAAAAAGAATTTTTTATGGTAATAAATGAATATTGAAAAACAAGTATATAGAAAATTAGGGAAATGCGAATTATATTTGCTTCATCTTGAAAAAAAGTCATTGCAGTTCTAGAAATATTAAAATAATCAATAATTTGTATTTAAATGCTGGTATATGTGGTCATTTTTAATTAATTTAATAATTTTTTATTAGTTTAGGAATTTTTTACACCAATTTGAAGTGAATTTTAATTTTTTTACGTTTTACAACCTTGCTTCCGCCGAAATTCTACAATTTTTTGTAAGAACTCATATAGTACTAACGGCGGACGCAAAGTTGTACACAATTTTTGCTTAAAATTACTTCATTAATTAAGTTTATTTAAAAAAAAATTACAAAAATATAATTATTTCAATATTTTGCTAAAAAAGTCAAGTTATTGACAACAATTATCTGACGTTTGACGTCAGGAAAAATATATTTTTTTAGTATCAAGTCAAAGAGTTGAATATGTAAATTACATATAAAAATATGTGCTCTCTTATGAATATTACATCAATTTTTTGTAATTGTCGACTTCTTATATATTTTAGATTATTTTCAATTTTTTTTTTCGCGCCAAGCTAAGACCAATTTTAAATTTACGTTTTACAACTTTGATTCCGCCGAAATTCTATGATTTTTTGTAGGAAACTCATATAGTACTAACGGCGGACACAAAGTTGTACACAATTTTTATTTTAAATTACTTATAATTAACTTTGTTTTCATAATACGAACAAAATTATAATTATTTCATGCAACTTTTTGTTATATATAACATGAAAAAATCGATATGTTTTGTATATTGGAAAGAAATTCACAATTTAATATGAGCCAATTACGAATTTTATTAGTTACAACTTTGCTTCCGCCAAAATTCTATTCATTTTTGTAAGAAACTCATATAGTATCAACGGCGGACGCAAAGTTGTACATAATTTTTGTTTTAATTGTGAGAATAATTATTAAATCTGTTTAAATTACAACTTTGCTTCCGCCGAAATTCTTTGTTTTTTTTGTAGGAAACTCATATAGTACTGACGGCGGACGCAAAGTTGTAAACAATTTTTTTTCAAAATGTAGAAACAAATATTATTATTAGCTTGATAAAAACAATTTAGACGTTTTTTGGCATTCAAATAACTAGTATATAAAAAAATGAAAAATATATTTTTATATTATATTATACTTATAATTAGGTAAAATCTATCAACCCAGTTTTTCTTACTCTTGAACAACCACGATGTCTTCAGCCCTAACACAATAATATTTCCCAATTGTGATAGATCATATATCTATTACAAATCTGTATTGTAGATTAATCTATATTGTATATTTAAAATGTTACTAATCTATGTATTTATTTATTTATTTTTTCCGATGCTTCCATCGGGCAGCTACTTATAGAGAGGGTGAGTTTTAATCGAAGAATCAAAAATTAGGGGATCAAATCAAACATCAGCTTTTTTCAGAAAAAACATATTTATAACATGACATTTACATTGTCATCGTAATATTAGTAAATCCATAATTATAATATGGCAATGGGTCGTTGGGTCAATGAATCATTACATATTTTTTTAGGAATCAACTTAATAGTATTTTTAAAAAAAAGAAATTTAATTCCATATATATGAATATTATTTTATAAAACTAGTTTTGATTAATTTTATCAATTTCATACATTTTTTTCATATGCATGTCACATCATCTGGTGGCATAGATTTCACAATTGCTAAAAAAAATTATTATATTATTTATTTGCACGTTTTTTTTACATTTGGGTTTGTTTGATGAATCATTTCGACAGATTTCATCATCAGTCATCGATTTTAAATTTAGAATAGGATGTCATTACACAAAATACAATATATATATATAAATATGATATTTCAAGAATTTTATAATATGAATTTTATTATTTATTTTAAATTGGCGAATTTGTTTAGTCGTAAAAGAATTGGCATTAAAATCAGTTGACGATGAGAAAATATAAAAATATTATGTCAATTAGTAAAATTTTTGCTGTGGTTATGTTAAATTGAAATAACGTAACTGTTACGTAACGCACGGTACAGTTATGTAACAACAACGCAACATAGACAGAAAAACGTAATAAACTCATTATATCAATTAAAATTGAATTCTAGAACAAATTTAATTTTTTTTTTAATTTATAAATCAAAAGTTAGAAGAATGTTCTACATATATATTTATGCATTTATTTAGTATATCTTCTATAACTTTTCAGAAGTTTGTTCAATTTTAATGAAACATCTGACAAATTTGTAGAAAATTGCATGCAGCATAATACTTTCTAATATAACATTGCTCTGGAGCAACTCGGTATACTTTAAAATCATATTCAAAAGTAGACAAATTTTATATGTTCTACAGCTATTTAAATTTATTGCATTAATTCATTATATCTCTTGTAACTTTTGAATCGTCTGTTGAATTTGAATAAAATATTTGACAAATTTATACAAAATTGAATAGACTAAAAAGTTCTAACATTGTAAGATCCTACAGCAACCCTGTATACTTTAAAAATGCATTTGGGAGTAGGAAGTTTCCAAAAAGTGTTAAAAATTAGTCAAAGTGCATATAACGCACCAAGTTTAATAATCTATTCATGCATTTATTTATTGTAACTCTTGTAACTTTTGAACCGTTTGTTTGATGTAAATGAAATATTTGACAAATTTGTTCAAAATTGAATTATCTACAATATTGTCTAATATAATAATGCCCTAGAGCAACTCGGTTTGCTCTAAATAGCAATCGATTGTGGAATATTGACTGGGAGTACACATTTTGTTATAACTCTTATAGTTTTCAAACCAAGCATTCTATACATGTAAAGAATTAGACAAATTCATACAAAATTAAGTAATAAACAATATTTTCTAATATCGCAGAATTCTACAGCAACTCGGTATACTCCAAAATCGCATTTGAAAATAGACGTTTGTGCATTTATATATAATAACTCTTGTAACTTCTAAACGATTCGTGCAATATAAATAGAACTTTTAACAAATTTGTTTAAAATTAAGTAATTTATATTATTTTCTAACATCGTAATGTCCTAAATCAACTCGGTATACTTTAAAATCGCTCCAGAAAATAGACAAATATTTTGAACGATTCTTTACTTTAAAGCTGTAATTTAAATTTCATATTATTTTATTTTGATGATATTACTGAAAGTACACATTTTTGTTATAACTCTTGTAGTTTTTAAACCGTTCATTTAATGTTAGTGAAATATTAGACAAATTAATACAAAATTGAATAATTAACTATGTTTTCTAATATCGCAGAACTCTACAGCAACTCGGTATACTCTAAAATCGCATTTGAAAATAGACAAGTGATACTATGTTGCACGTTTATGCATTTATATATCAAAACTCTTGTAATTTTTAAACGATTCGTGCTATATAAATAGAACCTTAAACAAATTTGTTTAAAATTAAATAATTTACATTATTTTTTAACATTGTAATGTTCTAAATCAACTTGGTATACTTTGAAATCGCTTCAGAAAATCAAGTAATATTCTGAACCATTCTTAACTGAAATTTAATTAGAAAAATTCTGTAGCAAAAGTACATTTTTTGGTTAAGACTTTAATAACTTTTAAACTATTTATACGATGTAAATAGCATGTTTGGTAAATTTGTAGACAATTAAATCACCTAAAATATTTTCTAACATAATGAAGCCCTTGAACAACTCTATTTATTTTAAAACTGCACTTGAAAGTAGTAAATATTATCTATTCGAGCATTGCTTTGTTCTATGACAATTTTTTACGAAGTGCTCTCTCGTACTATATATAGTACAATGGGCGTAATCGTTATACAACATCTCAATGGTCCATTATTAGGGTTTATACAAAAACCGACATTTCAGAAAACCGGTTTTCGAATTTTAATTTTACTAAAAACACGGCTTTAACCGGTTTTCGAATTTTATATATAAAATATATTTTTGTTCAAATATTCTGTAATTTATCCGCAAATTTAGTGTAATTTAGAATATGAATTTAATTATTGGTCAATTTTATATATAGTAAACAAAATTATTTTAATTTTAATTAGTAGGACTAAAAATACTAGTTTATCTTGATTAAATAATTTTGAAAATAATTATTCGATATTCATGCATTATTTTCACATATAAGAATAAAAGAATTTTTTTGATAGTGAAGGAAAGTTTTCGAATAAATAAAAATAATACAGTTTTAAATTAAAGAATTCATTAAATAAAAAAATAAAAAAATATTACATACATGTTAATACATTTTTAGTTTTAAAAACAATTAAGCTAACAATTTTAATTAATTAATTTTGAACATATAATTGTTTCTTTGTTTAATAAAATATGATTTTAAAAAACTGAAAACGTCTATCGAATTGCTACTTAGACGTGTCCTTTGTTTACTCACAAAATTTTCTGAAATAGAAAATAATGTCATACTTGCGACCAAATTATGCTTAATTGTTTTCAAAGCCTGATATAATAATTCTAAGTTTTTTGTTCATTAGTTTGTGGTTTCTAGGGTTTAAAACTTTTTTTTTTAAGTTAGAGTAGAGGAAGTTACTTCTTCAAGAACACTTGACACTGATTTAAATTAATACACGTATATACTGGTATAAAAATCAAAATATATCCAAAACCTTTCTGGGATCCATTGCAGACTGATAAGATATCAAATGCTATTGAACCGATATGATTTCAAGAATCAAAACGCTTTTATCTATCTTTTATATTTGGCTATATTTGTCATTTTGCATTTATATAGTGAAAACCGACTTTTTTCACTAAAAAACCGGTTTTCGAAGTCCATAATTTTCGCCAAAAAACGGTTTTTGAAAACCGACAAACCCTAGTAACAATGCTTTGTTCTACGATAATTTGCTTAAAAAATGCTCTCGTACTATATATAGTACAATGGGCATAATCGTTATACCACATCTCAATGGTCCATTATCTACCACATCTCAATGGTCCATTATCTACCACATCTCAATGGTCCACTATCTACCACCGCAAAAATCCACCAAAAAAAATTTAAAAAAAAATTCCATCTACCACGAAACACAACAAAAATCCAACTGCAATCACCAAATCGCATTAGAAATTCAAATTAGAACCATGATGCTTGTGGTCACCATTACCATCTTTTTTTTTACCATCACTAATCCGGCTCTGGTGTATTTATCTAGGTCGTGAAGTAGTATTCCAGTGCAGAGACGAAGGTTCTAACAGAGCCCGAGTTCGTTGGACTCGCCCCAACGGAGCACCACTACCACCTGGTTCCAGAGATTTGAATGGAAGATTGGAAATTCCAAATATCCAGGTTTCCCAGGCTGGTGCTTATATCTGCGAAGCTCAGGGATTCCCCGCCAACACTCCTGGTGCGAGTGTCACTGTTTATTTGAATGTCGAACCATGTAAGTAGAAATAGAAAGGATTGATGTAGTGCAGTAAACGGAGAAAAAATGGTGTAGCCTCTGAATTTTTTACTGTGCTCCAATTTGCATGAATTTTTGGTATCAGGTTCATCTTAACCTCAAGTTCGAAAGTGAAAACTATTTGGACTTGGGGGTGCTGCGACCACTTAATGAAGAAGTGGACATGGAGTTGTTTTATCGCTAGTAAACGTTTTTAATATTAAAGGATATAATTAAGAAATATTTTTTTAATACATTTACCTAGCATTAAAATCATTTTCAACCTCGTGAAAACCCTAAAACCCTTCAAACAACCTCTAAATTCAAAAAAAAAAAAACACCTAAAATTTTATATCTGTATGATATAATAAGAATTACATATAAAGTAAATAATATTTTATGTTTTCTATCTTGATTATCAAATTTTTAACCATTGTTTGAAAAAATTATTTTGAATTTGAAAGAAAATTAAGAAATTCAAAATGATATGAATGTTATTTCAATTTCTCGAAAATAATTACCATATCCATAAATTGTTCAGCTCTTAAATCTACCCTTGAATAAAAACAGTTAAGGGGGTATTCTAGTGTAGAGCGATGAATTTTAGGTCATTTTTAAAGTGTCGTTAAAGAAAGCAATGAATGTTTTTACTATCCATTTTTTGCCACCTGTTTATTAATATTATTAAAATACAAAACAAAAATTAAAAAATAAAAAAGTTGAAAATTGTAAAAACTGGCAGCTGATAAAGTGGTGGATAGTCACAAAAAATGGCACCTCTGTCTTAACATGATTTCAGCCCTCCTAGCCATCGGAAATGCAAAAAATAAAAAGATTATTAATCTACAATGATGTCGCAATCGCCCGAACTAGCGATGAGTAAAAAATCATTTTTTTACAAATAGGCGACTGTTTAAAAAAAAAGTCTTTTTTTACTGTTTTTTTGAGTTTCTTGAATTTTTTAAAAATAGTAAAAATTGAAATTTGGGGATAATCCCCGTTCGGGCTATAGATAGGTCTATAAACAAGACTCTTTGAACGTTTCAAGTGAATCGGTCGAGTAGAACTCGAGAAATCGTGTCAACAGTACTAAAAAAGTCTGTTCTGAGAAAAACGCATTTAAAGTTTTGCGTGAAGCCAAACCAGTATGGAGACTGAGTCAGCAAAATGCCTATATCTCCGAAAATAATTCAAATTTTCAAAAACCTTCTCGTACCCATATTCTTAGATAGTTAAATTTTGAAAATATGAAATAAAAAAAACGATTTTTTTGAATTTCTACACTAGAATAACCACTTAATATAACACTAGTACCCAGAATAATTTTGTCTAAAATCGTATATTTATTATTTATCTTGTTGCTGCAATTATTAAACTTTCATTTGACTATAGCGATATAAAACTATATTAATTTATTTAACACGTGGACCATTTAGCCATAAGATACTTTATTATAAGAATAAATTGCCATTATCAACATAATAATACAGCATTTTGTGGTACGTATCGTATCCGTATCTTTTATTCTTTTTGAGATATAATGAAAATAAGTTCGATTTTTAAAACAATTGGAAAAAAATGGAATGTGAATCACTTTAATTCTTGTGGAAATGGCGCTCATTAAACTATACACTCATTTTAAAGCTTATTTTGAGCACTATAAAACCCAATTTCACTGAAATGCATAAAATGTAAAACATCGCAATTAGATGGCTTTAAATACAACAATTAAATTTTGAACGAAATAAAAAACGACTTTGCTTTTTCAAATCTTGCTTAATATTATTCCTAGAACACTTTATAGAACACCGTTTTATTAAGATTTTAATTGACATTAATTTGTTCATTACATGGCTTTCGTTAAAATGTATATTTTAGGAGGTATTTGCAAAAAAAACGAAGAAAAACTCCAAAAATATGTGAATCTTAGTGGCCAGTAACTTGAAAAGTATTAGTTTTTTTTGAAAAACTATAAAAGATATTGTTTTCTTATAATTAGTTTTTCTATCGATGTCATTTTGAAAAAATGTAATTATACAATTGTGAAGGGGTATCATCCCGCCGAATTGTTTTCACTTTTGAAATTGAGGGTAAGATGAATCTAATTCCAAAACTTTATGCAAATTGTAGCACAGTAAAAAAAATCATACTCAAAACACTCCGTTTACTGCACTAATGGTGACTATCAGTTGATGATCAATCTTTTAATTGGACGCAGCTCATAGTAAATCTCGTAACACGACTTTAACAAAATTAACAAATCCAACTTTACTTAAATACGGGATAATCCCCCATGTTGATCCAGATTTTCACAGCACAGGTATTTCTTACTTACTTAAAACCAAATCCAAAAACTTTAATCCTTGAATTTAACATCTTCTCTTTTATATGCCTCTTGTTCGGTATTGGATTCTGGTAAGTTCCTTCCTTGGCAAACAAAATTTTATTTATTCACCATGATATTTATTAAATTTTTTTCTAGATACTGCTCCAACTTATCGTCCTGCTAAAGCTTGTGGTCTTCACGAGGCAACTTGTGGAAATGGTGATTGTATTCCCAAACATCTGGTTTGTAATGGTGAATACGACTGTGCTGATGGATCTGATGAAAGCAGATGCAGTAAGTTGAAAAATGTTAATCAAATCCAAACAAATTTTTGAAGTAAACTTCTTTAGGCGCGACCTGGGTGTAAATCCGTACAAATGCAACGGAAATTGTTACTCCTACGTGAAGTGAGAGTCAAGCGCTCTCGATGATAAATGATTTTTATAGGAGTCGATTTCAATATTTTAGACGTGCGTACGTCACCAAAAGCATGAAGCATATTGTTCAAATTTCCTGTGTTATGTCAAAACTTTTTAAGGTTAAATATGTAGTTAAAAATTGTCAGGATCGGAAGAATATTTTATCCCGTCCTCCATAATAACTGTAGTGCAAATAATCGCAAATAATGAAACATATGAAAAATCTGCGCTGCGTGAGACTTGTAAGTTTATTGAAGTAATTTGTATTATTTGAGTTTTTCGAGGTTACTATATACCTTTGAGGTTAGTACTAAAATGGAAAATATTTTTATAAAAATATTTAAATATTTAAACAAACAAGCAGTCAATAATGAAGTTCTACAAACACAATTACATGATGAGTGAAATTGGCAATTTAACGTAAGTTTACATGTTTCTCTTTTATGATGGCTATGGAGACTAATTTTAATTTATTTTAATAGTAGGTAATTATAAATATTGATGCAGGTTCAAAACCTCTTACAAACTATACTAAATTATCTACCTAAACTAGAAACTGTATTTGAAAGGTTAATTTCACCTAGGTTGTGTTTCATGCAAATTAGACGATTGAGACATGCAAATGGACAATTTTGAATATTTGGACAAATTATAAATGTGCCTGTTGACATTAATAATATGGTTAATTTATTACCTCGTAATAATGATGATGATCGTTGCATTAACGTTCACATAAAATAGAAAATGATTCATAGATCAAACTATGTGCAGGGCTTAAATAAAACAAATATAAAAGTATGGCTTCAATTTTTTAGGCTAGACAGATATTACAGCTGTTCTAAGAATGAGATTATATCGTCAGCGAAAAAGTAAAAAAAATACAAACAGTAAATGAATGTATGTTAATTTTAATTACATGAAGTTCTTCAAACACAATTATTACATGACGAGTGAAGTTACAAACACAATATTTGTTTAGGCGTTGTTTAACATAATCCACTGTGTGAACGAATATTATAGAATTTATTAATCAGCAATTACTTTAAACCGATCATGTCATATTTCAAGTATGACTTTGATTACATTGTTGTTTGTAAATATTATACATATTTTTAATGCAATCATAAATATATAATTTATAATTTATCATTATATAAATGTGTATAATGATTGACGACACTAATAAATGTGTGCATCACGAGTATTACCATATTACTAATAAACTTTATTCAAAATTGTTATATGATGTATTTATTTTTACTTAAGTTAAATTTGCTACTTTATACAGTAGCAAATAAGTTTTTATCCACATTGTGTTTTCCAGGTCCTCATGGTTGTGAACCCAACGAATTCCGTTGCAACAACAAGAAATGCGTTTTGAAATCCTGGAGATGCGACTCTGATGACGATTGTGGCGATAATTCTGATGAAGAATTCTGTGCAACTACACCACCAGATGCACCCTGCAAGTAAGTAGAAAAAAAACTGACTAAAATAATTATGGTGTAATTAATTTCCCGTAGGGTAGTTATAGTAATGGGCCGAATATCGAAAATGAATTTTTTTGCATTTCTCGACGTTTTGAAGGTTTCTAAACATTTTTAAGGGGCATACCTCAGAAAAAATGGATTAACCGATTTGAATAGTTTAAAAACATTAGTTTTTGGCAAAGGCAGGTCCCGCCATTTCTAATATACAGAGCTAAATGTGCAAAAAATGGCAGTTTTTGAGTGAACTAGGCGTCCGATTTGAGTGATCTAAATAACTTTCTGCTTGTATTGACAAAACAATTGCTTTTGAGGATAAAAATTATTACTTTTTTTTTTATTTTCCATAAAATATTTTTGTCATTTTGGATTAAAAATTTAAAAAATTCCCCAGACTAAGCACAGTCTAAGCGCCACTCTGGTACAAATGTTTACCCAAGTGCGTTTAGACTGTTTATGTACTGGAGCACTTTTTCAATTTTGTGAAAACTATTGAAAAATGTGAAAATGCCGCCAAGCTAAGCACAGTATAAGTGAAAATGACGCATAGAATTATTTGCAAATGCGTTAAAGAAAAGTAACAAAACCGTAACAACGTATAAAATTACAAAATTTAATATATTAATAAAAATTAAAATACTTTATTCTGTGTTAGAAATATTAAGAAAAAAATAAATGCCAAATTTGAAGCATTATAAATTTCGATAACACAAAACAAAAACGTAACAAGAAAACATTAAATATGATAAACGTTAATGTTACGAAATAAAAATGTAGCTAGAAATAAAAGTGAAATTACTCGATATATTCTATTTAATTAAATTATTTCTAGTTAGCATTGTATTTACTTTGATATATAAATTAATATATTGATAATTAGAAAATAATATAAAGCATGAAAATATTAATAAACTAAAAATATATTCTAAAACATTATAAATATTATTTTTACGAAACAAAGACGTAACTAGAAGTAAATATATTCCAATTATTTTTTAAAAACTCAAATTAAACTAACTCTATCTAAAGATCTAATGGATATTAATGTATACTCAATATTAAAAAAAACAATATGAAGTTAAAAAAATAAAAGCAAACTTTAAGGTATGATAAATGTTTATGTAAATTTGTAAATATTTGAATATAGGTTGTCAAATATCTCCCTTTCGCCTTTTTGTATTATAAACCAAGAGCAAAAAAGCGGAAGGGAGATATTTGACAACCTAATATAATAATTTGATAAAAGTACATATAAATTTAATATATTAAAAACAATATATAGTACAAAAAATATTAAAAAACTAGAAGCAAACATTAAGTCATGCAACTATTGAAAAATAGTGAAAATGCCGCCAAGCTAAGCACAGTATAAGTGAAAATGTCTCACAGAATTATTTGCAAATGCGTTTAGACTGTGACTGTGCGGGAGCACTTTTTCAATTTTGTGTAAATTAGGCAACTATTTTTTTGAAATTTTTGAAATTGAATTCGAAATGAAATGACGATTGTTAATGTTCTCGAGATAAATTGATTTATAATTTACATTTGATTTGCTCAGATATAACAAGATAGCAGAAATAATGAAAGTTACAGTATTTGTAATAATATATTTGAAAACGTTTAAAATTTCTCGAATATTTCATTACGGTACGGGAAGTTCCAGCAATTTGCCTTAAGGCACGATGCCATACAGCACTAGTTTATTTGTTTGGTTTCTATTTTTTTTAGGTATCATGAGTTTGCTTGTGCCAGTGGCAACCAATGTGTACCTAAAGCTTACCATTGTGACATGCAAAGAGATTGTCTTGATGGATCAGATGAAAGAGGATGCAGTAAGTACAAATGTAAAATAAATCTATTGGTTTTATTTTACAATGTTGATTTTTTACAGCTCCTCCTGAAATTGTACAACCCCCATCACCACCAATGAAAGTAGTAACAGTTGGATCAGAATTGGTAATAACCTGCACAGCCGTTGGTGTCCCAACACCAGAAATCAGTTGGCGTTTGAATTGGGGCCACGTACCAGCCAAATGTAAAATGACCAGTGTCGAAGGACGTGGTGAATTGGTTTGTCCAGACATCCAGAAATCTGATGAAGGTGCTTATTCTTGTGAAGCTATAACATCCACAACGACCAAGATTGCTGTTCCTGATTTAATCCTTGTCGTAATCACTGGCAGTGGTGTTTGTCCAGCTGGTCAATTCAATGATGAAGCTCGAGTTCCATCAGAGTGTATTAAGTGCTTCTGCTTTGGGGCTACGACTAATTGCAGCAGTGCTGATTTGTTCACATATTCGGTAAGTAGGCACATAAACCAACAGGAAATGTGATTGTTTTTTACATTATTTTTTGGAATTTTTAGTTGCCGCCACCATTTGTTGCCGATAGCGTTGTTGGTGTCCGAGTTGGACCAAGAGGAGATCTCACAGTTGGTGATGCTGAACCAGCTTACAGAGGTCGAAGACCACAACTTACACAACATGATGCCAATGGAGCTACGGTAAATATCTCAAAAACAACCTGCATATTGATAATATGATTTCTAATTAATTGTTTTGCATAGCTTTATGTCAGTGGCATGGACAGCAGATCATCTGGTTCAAGTGGTTATCCATATCTACCAGTACCAGAAAGTTTCTCAGGCAACCAACTCAAATCCTATGGTGGTTACATCAAATATCGTGTAGAATTCCGTGGTTATGGCGAACCAGCAAGAATTCCTGATGTCATCTTAGTCGTAAGTACTTGGTTAAACTTTTGATGGCCATGCAAAAACTTCTGATGTCAACCTTGTTATTATTTTTCAGGGTAATGGTTATACTTTGACTCACACATCCCGGGAACTTTTAACATCATCTACACCTGGTACCCAAAGATCTGCACGATTATTCGAAGGCGAATGGGACAAAGTACGTGAAGATGGTTCAGGAACAGTTCCAGCATCTCGTGAAGACATCATGATGGTTCTGGCTAGAGTTGATCGTGTTCTCATCAAGATGCAGTAAGTATAATGATTGAAATTTTGCTGTGTTTTACTCTGGTGATGGTGTTTTATTTCTTTTTTTTTTAGATATGTTGAAGGCAATACTGTCGAATGCACGTTATCAGATATAACAATGGACTCTGCAGGAGTTAGTAACGTCGGTCAAGGACCGTCTAACTATGTTGAAGAGTGCAGATGTCCTGCAGGTTACACAGGATTGTCTTGTGAGGTAAGTTTGTCTTTATATATATATATATATATATATATATATATATATATATATATGTTATATATATAAAAGAGGATCGCTTAAGTTACAACACTTATAACTCACGAACGGCTCAATCGATTTAGATGAAAATTGGCAGAAAGGTAGTTTAGAGCCAGGAGAAACATATGTAATATTTTTTATCCAGTTTTCATTCTAATTCAAAATTAATTATTTATAAACTATCCATTTAGTTTATTCAATCTATGATTCTATCAATGATTTTATCCATGACATTTACTTTCACTTTTCAACTGTCATTCAGTGTTTCTGTTTTGATACAAATACATTAATATGCACTTTTTAATCATTACTTTTGAAAAATTATTACGTGAATAATATAAATTTTTTAATCACCACGGAAAATTATTACGAAATAGCAAGTAAATAATAATAGCAAGCGATGCCAGATGGACGATTGAGAAATTTATTTCTTGAAAATGGGAATGTAATTATTTATATACTTAGGTACTTATGTATATTTGTTTATACGTATTTAAATAGAGTATTTGAGGTGTTTATATTCTATATATCAGCAATAAGTATAATCATAAACAAATTAATAAAAAAAAATATTTTGAAATATAGTTTCTTAACATAACCTCAAAATTTGTAATAAAAATGTAAATATATATTAATCGTTGTTAATTTATAATTTTTTTATACATATCTTATAAAATGTTTCAGGTGTTTACAACTAATTGGCATATATGTTATCAGCAAATGTGCTTTGATTGGACAATAAAGAGTCCTAATTGAAATTACTCGACTACCTTATGTTATATATAGTGATAGAATATTAGTTCTTGGTTTATATATATATATATATATATATAATCCAATTATAAACATCACGAAGCCTCAGACGTTTCCAACATTTCCAACGATTCCCCCTTATATATATATATATATATATATATATATATATTAATAAATTTTTGTATGTTACATATTTTGTTTATATTTTAGTCTTGTGCTCCTGGTTATACAAGACAAACATCCGGACCTTGGCTCGGCAGATGCCACCGTGAACCAGAAGTTTGCCAACCAGGATTCTATGGAGACCCATCAAGAGGAATCCCTTGCAGAATTTGCCCATGTCCCCTCACGAACCCCAGCAACCAGTAAGCATCACAAACTTATGCAAATCTAAAGTCAGGAACTTACAAATCAATTATCATCCCCAGATTTGCTCGTACTTGTTCTCTGGGACCAGATGGTGATGTCGTGTGCGATTGTGCTACCGGATACGAAGGACGTCGTTGCGAACGTTGTGCTCTGGGATACGAAGGCAATCCAACCAGACCTGGAGACAGATGTAGACTTGCTCAACCTGCTCCTGAACCACCAAGACCACCAACACCTGAGAGATACGAATGTGACCCTGCAGGATCCCTTAGCACTAGACCTGATCCTAGAACTGGACAATGCTTGTGCAAGGTAAAACAATAGAAACTAGTAGTGTATGACATAGTGCCTTAAGGCAAATTGCTAGAACTTACCGTACTGTAATGAAATATTCGAGAAATTTTAAACGTTAATTACAAATACTGTAACTTTCATTATTTTTGCTATCTTATTGTTATATCTGAGCAAATCAAATGTAAATCATAAATCAATCAATTTATCTCCAGAACATTAACAATCGTTTTCATTTAATTTCGAATGTGATTTAAAAAAAAAATAGTTGCCTAATTTGCACAAAATTGAAAAAGTGCTTCCGTATAGTCACAGTCTAAACGCATTTGCAAATAATTCCGTGCGGCATTTTCACTTATACTGTGCTTAATTTGGCGGCATTTTCACTATTTTTCAATAGTTGCATGACTTAATGTTTACTTCTAGTTATTTAATATTATTGTACTATATATTGTTTTTAATATACTGAATTTATATTTATTTTTTTAAATTATTATATATTAAAATAATAACAAATTATTGACTTGAGAATTTCACTTCTAGTTACGTTTATGTTTCGTAGCATAAACATTTATCATACCTTAAACTTTGCTTTAAAAAATTTCATATTTTTTATACTTCATATTGTTTTTTTAATATTGGGTATATACATTAATATCCAATTAGATCTTTAGATAGAGTTAGTTTAATTTGAGTTTAAAAAAATAATTGGAGTAATTTTACTTCTAGTTACGTTTTTGTTTCGTATAAATGATATTTATAATGTTTTAGAGTATATTGTTAGTTTATTAATGTTTTCATGCTATATATTATTTTTTTATTATCAATATATTAATTTATATATCAAAATAAATACAATTAATACTAACTAGAAATAATTTAATTAAATAGAATATATCGGGTAAATTCACTTTTATTTCTTATTACGTTTTTATTTCGTAATATTAATGTTTATCATATTTAATGTTTTCTTGTTACGTTTTTGTTTCGTGTTATCGAAGTTTATAATGCTTCAAATTTTGCATTTATTTTTTTCTTAATATTTCTAACACAGAATATAAAGTATTTTAATTTTTATTAATATATTAAATTTTGTCATTTTATACGTTGTTACGTTTTTGTTACTTACCTTTAACGTATTTGCAAATAATTCCTTACGACATTTTCACTTATACTGTGCTTAGCTTGGCGGCATTTTCACATTCTTTGATAGTTTTCACAAAATTGGAAAAGTGGTCCACTACATAAACAGTCTAAACGCACTTGGGTAAACATTTGTACCAGAGTGGCGCTTAGACTGTGCTTAGCTTGGGTAATTTTTTTGAAAATTCCAATTTTGTGAAAAATATTGAAAAATGTGAAAATGCCGCCATGCTGAGCGTTTAGACTGTGACTATATGGGAGCACTTTTTCAATTTTGTGTAAATTTTGGCAACTATTTTTTGAAATTGAATTCGAAATATTAATGTTTTGGAGATAAATTGATTTATGATTTGTGATTTACATTTGATTTGCTCAGATATAACTAGATAGCAAAAATAATGAAAGTTACAGTATTATTGTAATAATATATTTGAAAACGTTTAAAATTTGCCTTAAGGCACGATGCCATACTAGTTAGAATATATCCTCATCTTTTATACTTTTTCTGAAGGAATCAACTACTGGACCACGTTGCGACCGTTGCAAAGAAAACGCTTTCCATTTGGACTCTGAGAACCAATTCGGATGCATCAGCTGCTTCTGTATGGGCATTACACAACAATGTACAAGCTCCAGAGATTATAGAGACCAGGTAAATAAGGTAAAATAAATTCTCAAAAACTTTGTGTTAACTTACTGCTTGTTATAGATTTCTGCATCATTTGCCCATTCGTCTAACGAGTTCGCTCTGATCGAATCCCAACGCAAGAAGACACCGATCACATCTGGACTACAGGTAAAATATTTATTAACTTCCCGAAGGAGAAGTTTATGTTTTCATAAAAAAATCCGATTCGCTAATTTTATGTTTTCACGACGTTTCAAGCCATTCTGAATCGAATGAGACCAAATTTGGAAAAAGTATGTGTGTGTGTTTGTATGTGTATGTGAACAGATTTTTTACCGTAAATCGACGTTTTCTCAAAACCGGCTGATCGATTTCAAAAATTTAAAAGCCACTCGATGTATCTCGACGAGGACTATTGTTTGTCAATTTTGTGCGACGATCGGCCAAACCGTTTCTTTATAAATCGCAGAAAAGTTAAAAAAAATTCGTCCACGTTTTAGCCCGCAATTCTGAATCGATTCTGAAAATTCAAAAACCATTCGATAGATATTGGTTGGGAATCGTGCTGATTAGTTTTTGGTAAAGATCAGCCGGGCCGTTTTCTTATAATAAAGTTTAAAAAAAAAAATTCGACTATTTTCATTATTATTTTTTTGACCTAGATACCATAGTCTTCTAGATCAAACTAAAATATTACAGCCCTACGACAACTCGTTTAGCTTTAAAAATTCATCAAAGTTTGCAAAAATTAGTATCGTTCTTTTGGCATTTGTCAAAATTAGATCTTTCATCGACGTTTTCTCAGAAACGCCTGAACCGATTTCAGAAATTTAAAAGCCATTTGATGTATTTCAATGTGGACTATCGTTCGTCAGTTATGTGAGACGAGCTGCCAAACCGTTTCTTTGTAATTTGAAAAAAAGTGTTAAACTTTTCGTCCACATTTAAGCTCAAACTACTGAATCGATTTTAAAAAATCAAAAACTGTTCGAAAGATATTAGTTAGGAATGATACTGATTAAGTTTAGGTGAAAATCTACCGAGCCGTTTTGTTGTAATTAACTGTTGAAAAAAAAATTTAAGCCGATTTTTATGGAACTTTTTTTGGCGATATATATCATGGTCTTATAGAACTTACTGAAATATTATGGCCTTACGACAAGTAGTTTAATTTTAAAAAACTATCAAAGTTTGAGAAAATGAGTAGTTTCTTTAATATTTATTAATATTAAAGTTGTCAAATATCTCCCTTCCGCCTTTTTGTATTATAAACCAAGAGCAAAAAAGCGGAAGGGAGATATTTGACAACCTAATATTACAATTAGAAGATTTACTTGGTATAACAATAGTAGTACTTGGTCTTAATGAACATACCTACCATTAAAGTCCTGCGGAGACTGATTCAAATATTAAAATTAATGATTTTTGAAAATTTGCTTTTAGAAAATACTCCGAGTTAACGTGTTCGTTCATTTTAATTATGTGTAATAAATTCTATCGGAATTCTTTTGATCACTTATAAATTAATTTATATTTGATTGATTAAGTCGATTATTTACACATATCGGGAAGTTCATGTAACTTGCTTCAATGCTAAATACCAATACCGACTAGTTAAATATCGTTTTAGACATGTGCGTAAATTATGGTTTGTACTACAGGTTGATCCATCACGCAGAGAATTAGTTTACCACTCATTCAGTCCTTCGAGACGTGATACCTTCTACTGGAGTCTTCCATCTAGGTTCTTAGGAGACCGTGTCACTTCTTATGGAGGTGTCTTGAACTACACCATCAGACACGTACCTGCACCAGGTGGAAATTCCAGAAATAGTGCTCATGATGTTGAATTGATTGGTGTAAGTACTTAAGGGGCACAACTAGTGTGAAATTTTCAAAAAATCGAATTTTTAATTTTTCCATATTTTGATAGGCTATACCTTTAAAAATAACATACCAAAATTTTTAAAGAGATATCTCAAATAGTTTTTGACTTACAGCCATTTAAAGAGTATATATATATATAGTATATAGTATAAGGATCATTTTATCTTTAAACGCGTTTTTTTCAAAACAGCATTTTCCGAATTTGCTGCAGCGATTACTCAAAAACAAATGATCCGATCACTATCCAATTTTTTTTACATGTTCTATATATAGTTCTCCGTAAAATGAACTATCGATTTTTTGATCGGATCAAAAATCGAAATTTGGCAGTCCAAAAACGACCAAAATTTTGGGTAAAGTTCGACTTTTTTTTTTTTAAAAAAAACGCCGTCATTTTGTCAATTTTTGATTTATTTTCTTTATCGTAGTTCATTTTACAGACAATATTATTATTCGTCCAGTCATTTGGTCGTTTTGCCGGTACAGTACTCGGGGAATTCTGAAAATTGGTAATCTTATAGATTTCGAGGTGCTCTTTACGAAAATCAACTTTGCCACCTCAAATTTGAACGGCAAGTTGCCGCCATATTGAAAAAATGGCATCAAAAACAGCTTTTTTAAAACATCTCCTTTCTGGCTCATTCTACGATAAAAGTATCTATATACGAATTAAACTAGAGAACATTTCCTACAATTCTTTAGAAACCCGTTTTTTTGTAAAATTGATAGTTTGAGAGTACGGCGGCCTCAAAGTCTTTGCTGCTCTCGCCGTATATATGACAGCACTTTGAACTTGACCACATACCTTCTAATAAATAAATATTTTCAATGTTAAATTAAGCAAATAAGATCTAGAAATAAAATAATTCAAATATTTTTCAGTTTTTTTGCTGATTTTTTAACACTTCAAGCTACTTACTTATAGCTACTTTGCTATTGAAGTGTTAAAAAACCAGCAAAAAGACTGAAAAATATTTGAATTATTTTATTTCTAGATCTTATTCGCTTAATTTAACATTGAAAATATTAATTTATTAGAAAGAATATGGTCAAGTTCAAACGTACGGCCGTACTCTCAAACTATCAATTTTACAAAAAAACGGTTTTCTAAAGAATTGTAGGAAATTTTATCTAGTTTAATTCGTACATAGATACTTTTATCTAGAATAAGCCAAAAAGGAGATATTTTGAGAAAGCTGTTTTTTGACGCCATTGTTCCAATATGGCGGCAACTTGCCGTTCAAATTTGAGGTGGCAAAGTTGATTTTCGTAAAGAGCACCTCGAAATCTATAAGATTACCAATTTTCAGAATTCCCGGAGTACTGTATTGGCAACAGCCTTTTTTTTGCACCAAATGACTGGACTATATCTAGTTTAACGAGATTTTTTTTTTATTTCATCCACTGCAGCAAGGGTTTTTTTTGTCGCGCAGTTGGTGATTGACGATAACTTAAAAAATACTTAATTTTTTTCTTCAAAAATTTTACTATGTATTCTTAAAACAAGTATATTCCTAATATATTCTATTCGTAATATATTCCTAAAATTTTGAAATGATTGATAAAGTAGTTTTTTTAATATAAATTTCCAAAAATCACCTTTTTTTAGTCGGTTACGCTAGTTGTACCCCTTAAATTATAATTGAATCTTTGTTCTTCCTACATAACTTTTTGGTTGTCATTTGCAGAACGATGTGCAATTAAAATACTTCGGCAAAGAACAACCACAACCTGACCAACAACAAACCTTCAGCGTCCCATTGTTGGAACAATATTGGCAGAGGACTGATGGTAATCCAGTGAACAGAGAACATATGTTGATGGCTTTGGCTGATTTGGAGAACATCTTCATCAAAGCAACGTATACCACGATGGCTGAAGAAGTTGGGTAAGATTATATGCACATCATCAGTAATTTTGATTGTGAGATTACTTCGATATTTTACTTCTTTATTTTCGCCTACTTAAATTCTCAAAAAAATGCAATAAATGTAAATATTTCTGACTAGTAATAGATACAGAAATTAAAATACTACTTAAAAACTATATATTAGCAAGCACATACAAAAATGTCTAATATTCATAGTCTTACTTTAAAAAAGGTTTTTTTTTTATAAAAATCGTATTCTACTCCTTGAGACCTTTCAAACGATACCCTACAAGCCATATAACTACTAGCAAAATTTTTTGAAGTAAAACTTCTTTAGACTCGACTTAAGAATATTAAAGTCCGTGAAACTTCTTACATATTTACAATAATGAACATACAGTGTTGGATAAAAAATAAGTAATTTTATGCAATTATGACTCAGAACACAGACATTTTAATATACTGTATAATAAAATTGAAAATTCAAGTATTTTTTCCTATAAAAATATGATGATATGTATCATTTTTATATGTATAATATTGTATTCTGCTTTTCGAGAGCTTTCAAATGATACCCGACATGCCTTAAAAACACAATCAAAATTTTTTGAAGTAAAACTTCTTTTGGTTTTTTTACTACACATTAATACTTATCACGTAAATGAGTATACTTATCACGTTTTTATTCATAAAATCGTATTATACTTTTCAAGACCTTCCAAATGATACTTGACATGCCTAAAAACACAAACAAAACTATTTGAAGTAAAACTTCTTTAGGTTCTTTTACTACAAATGAATACTTATTGTGTAAATGAGTATACTTACCGCGTTTTTATTTATGAAATCGTATTATACTCTTCAAGACCTTTCAAACAACACCCCACAAATAAAAAACACATTTAAAATTTTTGAAGTAAAACTGCTTTAGATCCGTTTACAAAAATTTATAAAAGTATAAATAATAATACTTATTGTCACATTTTATAAATAAAATCGCATTCTACTCCTTAAGACCTTTCAAATGATACCCGACATGCCTTAAAAACACAATCAAAATTTCTTGAAGTAAAACTTCTTCAGGTTTTTTTACTACAAATGAATACTTATCACGAAAATGCGTATACTTATCACGTTTATATTTATAAAATGGTATTATACTCCTCAAGACCTTTCAAACAATACCTCACATGTCATTAAAGACACATTTTAAATTTTTTTAAGTAAAACTTCTTTAAATTCATTTTCTTTAAACGCAATATAAGTGTAAAGACATTAGTGTAAAGCATTAATTGGTAATAAATAAGGTGTAATTCAAACTTTTGTATGAATGAAGTTTACAGAAGCATCGGAAGACAAATTTTTGGATCGATTTACCACAATTTTAGCCAGCACAAATCCATCCGCTTTG